AGTAGGAAAAAGCCTGGCGCTAAGAAGGTGGGAAAGGGGAGCGTTGGAGAGGAGAGGGGCCTCCCAGCGTATCATGGGTGCAGAAGGGGACAGTGTCTGGGTTTCTGGTGTGGTTTTGTGTGAAGATCACTGCTCCCATGGTCACTTAATGGCTTTCTGGTGTTAATAATGGTTCAGTTTTCACAAGGTCCTCAGTGCTGATATGTGAGACTGTGTATGGAGAGGTCTCATAAGCGGTATTGAGGGCAGCAGATTCCCAAGGGAGGGATTCTGCATCTGGGAGCAGCAGGGCAGGAAAGAGCAAGGCAAAGCAAAGGTGGGGAATGTGCTGGGGGCCCTTATGGGAGAGCTGGTCTCCAGAGGTGGAAGAGGAAGGTGGAGGAGTGAAGCTGGTGGTGTGAGTCTGGGCTTGACAGCTCTGATCCATGTGGCTTGGAGCGAACAGAAACCAGGTTTACCAAATTTTGGCACATGTATGGGCTGGAATGATTTTAGAATTCTCCCAAACCCGTGAAGGACCAAACCAGGTACAAAGAGCAAATTCTACTTGGATAGAAAGGTTTGTGAACTTACTGCTGAAACAAAGAATTCCCTTAGGAAGAAAAGTCCCTGAAAGCATCCTGAGGTGGGGAAGGGTGCCCGGAGGCCTCTGGTGAGTTTGGTACAGCTCACGGTGCCCCTGGGTCCCGAGCCCGTGCAGCTCTGGTCACTGCTGATGGCACATGAGCTCATCATTTGACACCAGCTGCAGTGGTTCCTGTCCAAGAGCTCTGTTCACAACATGCCACAGTCTTTGTATCCCACAGACCTTGGTCATTGTGTTGCCTGCCCAGACCTTTCTGGGTTTGGAGTCTGTGATGTTGCAGGCAGAGGTTGATGGAGTCTACATGGCACTGCCGTTTTCCAAAGCACCTCTCAGATGTGTGTGGAATTGGTAGGGCTATTTTAAAGGATGGGTTATGAGCTTAACTGGTTAGCCCAAAGTAATTCATCATGCCAGCACCAGAGGTAGAGGCAGAACCCACTACTTTCCTGTTTGCTCAGCAGGGGAGACAAGGGCCCTGGAACAGGAAAGTCAAGAGATCTAAAAGTAGCGAGTTCTTCCTACACTTATCAGCCATTCACAGCACATATGGCCAGAAAGGAAGTTTAAATAATTCAGTCCTACTCCTTTATCAGGCAGCTCAGTTTAACCTTGTTATCCCTACAGTAAAGCTATTACCTGTGCTTACCCTTCCTACAGTCCTGCAAGCTGCAGTTAGTCTGCACCAAGAGACAGAGGATCTGCTGCGGGCAGCTTGGGGTTTGTATGGGTGTTTCATCAGCCCTGTTCTACCAGGCTCTTGATGGGAATTCATGTTTCAGTTCTTAGCTGGTCAGCCTTGGCCCATTTTGGTACAGCCTGTTCTTCATTTAGTACCTTTTGGGGGTTTTTATTCATAGTTACCTGTGTTTTGTGCCTGACCCACCAGTCAGAACCACAGATCCCAACTGATGAATGGTGCCTTTTCTTCTTTGAGGACTCCATTTTGGAATGGGTTGATTTGTACTTGCAGACAGCATACCTCATTGTGGCCATAGGGCTCAGCCTGGAACATTCAGAACACAGACGATTGCCTGCTGCATTGTTCCTGTGGTTCTATTTTAATGTTTCATTTTGCAAATACATCTGAAAAGTTTCAGAGCAATCACGACTGACTTCTCAAAAATAACTCAGGAGAGAAGCCCCAGTGAAGCTGAATCCTTGTTCAAGGCAGCTGAGGGGCCCTTCTAGTCCCCAGGATGGGCAAACATGCTCTTCTGACTCTGTGCCAACAGTCATTGGATTCTGCAAACCCTTCTCATAGTGCAAATCATTCCATTTCTGAATCACAGATACCAGCAGGGCTGTGAAATTCTCATTTCTAAATACAACAGAGTATTTCGAGCACAATATAAATACTGATTAAAAAAAAAGGGCTAGAAACCAAAAAGTGATGCAGTGCTGACATTTTAATGATCCATGAGCAGTTATATCTGCTTCCAAGCAGTCCAGGTCACAAGGTGGTTTTTTGTCTTGTAAATGTGGTGTTTGAAAGGGCATTGAGGTCTCCAGGGTCCCTGGCTTTTTCCTCCAGCAAACTCATTCTGACCCACGCACACCTTCTTGGGTAAGCGCTGCAGGCGGTCCTGTGATGTCTCCCAGTGAGGTGCTGTGGCTTCCATGCTGATGTTCTGGAAGTTCTGAAGTTCTCCCAGCGTAAGTAAATCTGGGGATTGTCAGCTCACCATAGAGTCATAGAATAGAGTCATAGCAAGGCTTGGGCTGGAAGGGACCTTAAAGCTCCTCCAGCTCCAACCCCTGCTGCGGGCAGGGACACCTTCCACTAGAGCAGCTTGCTCCAAGCCCCTGTGTCCAACCTGGCCTTGAACACTGCCAGGGATGGGGCAGCCACAGCTTCTCTGGGCACCCTGTGCCAGCGCCTCAGCACCCTCACAGGGAAGAGCTTCTGCCTAAGAGCTCAGCTCAGTCTCCCCTGTTTAAGTGTGAACCCATCACCCCTTGTCCTATCACTATGTGCCCTTGTCAAAAGTCCCTCTATTCATTCAACGTTTAGCCTCCCTTTCTTGCCAGTTTTGCTCTAATCCCTGGTGTATCTGGTAGGAGCACAGTTTATTCATTATAGTCATGTATAGCTGTCCTTAGGTTTCTGACTTCCAAGATTCTCTTTTTTCAAAGCACTGCAATGGTGGCTCTGCTTTAGGCTGACAGTTCTTTATTTTGCCTTTCAAGCCTTTGAGAAGGGCTTTGCAGTGTTGTTGTGAAGAGCTGCGTGCTCCAATTGGAATACCTATTTTTGGTGGAACATCCAGTTTAGTACAATTGCCGTGTGAATTTTGGGTCTTGCAGTTGTTTATAGAGATCTTTAGGGGTTCAGGTTTCTGTAGCCTGACACTTTGCAATGGGATGTCTTCCTTCCACTGAAATGGTTTTAAAATGAAGTCTCGTACTGCCCTGACCCATCGTGTGCTCGGTGCAGCAAAGGGTGGCCCGCATCTCCCCTCTCGCACATGGGTGCAGTTCTTGGTGACAGATCTGGTAGGTGACAGTAAGATGTGACCCTGCAGCCTGGGTTTTTCCCACCAAACCGCTCTACTGTACACAATGAAATAAATCAGCATTTCATCTGATGAATCCAGTTGGCAGTCCTTTCCTCTGAATCCAGTTTTGATTGATTCCTTGGGTCTTGCACTTAAATAACCTTGCCTGTACATGGAATATTCTATTCACTGTGTTGCAGAGACCTCTGCATGTCAGGACAGATACTTGTAGCAGTGGATGCAGTCACTGTGCTGTGTTTGCATACTGATCAGATGGGTTCGTGAGGCATTAGACTTGAGAAATCCTCAGCTATGCTCTGTAGAGCAAATTTGATCTTGGATATTCAGGGGAAACTCTTCAGGAGTATAAAGCCTTGAGCATCTCTGCTGGCATTTTGATTACTACTGACACATGTTTTGTAGCTCCGGTGTCAAAAAGACATGCAGGGCTTAATAAAGACAAATTAGAACTACTTCACTGTGGTGGTTTCACACAAAGCTGCGTGGCCTGAAAGCAGGGACATTGGCATTGCACTGATCTCCTCAGGTGCTCAGGTTTTAATAGCCCCTCTGCATAGGCACCACAGGGAAGCAGGGATTTATTATCCCGTGACGCCAATTTGCATCAGCAGTGACTCTTCACTGATTCTGTGGTCATGGTATCGAGTCTGTACTTGTTCTTTCAGGGTATTTCTCAGAAAAGCCTGCACTTACACTACACTTAACTTGCAGATTGCTGTAGTGAAGAAGTGGTTTTGTCACTGCGAGCTCAGGCTCAGGTGTCCGTGCTGCTGGTAGCTTCCCTCCTGGTGATGGGGACAGGTATCAGTCAGGTCAGTTCTGGTGCCTCCCGTGGGCTTGGGGAATAAAAGGTGTTAATGTGATGCTGTGTGACACAAAACGGTTTAACAAGGTCTGGAGCTTCACGTGTCTCGTCCTGCTCAGAAAAGCAGGTTGTGTGTAGCGGCAGCTACCACTGAGGGCAAAGCAGAGATGTTTAATAGAGTGAATTCCCTGTGTGACAGACTACCAGAGGGTGTTTCAGAGGCTGTTTGGGGTAGGGTAGGGGAAAGCTCAATGTGGGCTGGAGCTGCTGGCATTATTCTTGATGCATCCAAACTGTGACACACTGAAGGACCAGCCGGAGCGTCCCAAGGCACACCCGAGAAGGTATCAGGGGCAGAAAAGAGAGAACGTGGCTTTCAGGTGGTGCTCAGCCCCCTGGCAGGAGAGGGGTAGCTGGAGCATCAAATACTGCAGCCAGTCTGAGACCTGCTGAACTCCTCACAGCTTTAGCACATGTGGCACAGTGAATCTCAGCTCAGTGTCGCGTAGCTCCTGGCTCTGAGTTGCAGAAGGGGCATCTTTTCTGGGTGACATTGGGGTGCAAACTGTCCGTGCTGCTGATGCAGTTCTGGCTAGCACCTCCCATGGGAGCCATGCCACTAACCTGGCTCTCCTGCCAGGGCATGCTCCATGCCCCTGGTGTGTCCCAGGTGCTTCTTGCCTGCCAGAGATGATGGCAGGGCTGTGTGTGGGATGTGGTACCGCGGTGACCAGGCTGGGATGCTCTCAGAGGGGCCGGTAACAAGGGTAAGCATTTGGGCTGTGTATCCCGGACCTGATTTTGCTCCTGGGACAGAGGTGGAGATGTGGGAGGCCTCACTCCCTGGTGCAGGAGCTCTCCTGCACGCTGCCCCTTCCCTTCCTGGTTCCCGGGGCGCTCTCCTTGCCCTGACCCAGGCAGGGCTCCTGCACAGGCTGCCTGCCTGCCTGCCGGCGGGTTGGATACTGGAGGTGCGGGCATTTGCTCCTCCAGCCCGCACATGTGAGCGATGTGCCTTTAAGACTAGCAGGAGAGCAATAGTATCTCCCTCCCTCCTGTTAATTGTAACATGTTTTTCAGCCGTGCTTTCCAGTCACATTCGCAGGCGGGAGCGGGAGCCGCGCTGGAGCTGCCGCCGGTGATGGGCAGCGCCGGGGGCCGGGGGACCCGGTGCCCGGAGCAGGAGCCCGCTGCGCCCGGGCGCTGGTGACGCTGCCGCGCTCAATCCTCACCTCTGCCCCGGCCACCGCCAGCTCCTCGCCTGCGTGGCCGTGGCCTCCAGCGCGGGTCCGGGTCTGCTGCGGGCCCTGGGGCAGCGCGGTGGTGCCGGGACCTGCAGCGGGTGATGCAGGAGCCGCCGGCACAGGGGTGCTGTGGGCTGCCGAGGGCATGGCCGGCTCCCTGAGCCCAGAGTGACTGCGCTCGCTCGAGGTCAGGACTGCTGCCCGGAGGATGCCCTGTGTGTCTCCAGTTACCTCCCTCCCGCCTCACCGCAGAGTATCTGGAGTTGCTCGCTCGCCCCTGCCGCGGGGGGACAGGGGCACAGGCCTCCAGAGGGTTAAGAGCATCTGCCTTTACGCCAAGTGTTGGAGCAGGAAATAATCTGCAGAGATACATGTGCAGCAATTCAACTGCTGCTGCTCTCCTGGCTGCCGCGCTGCAGGTCGGTGTGTGAGGGATGCTGTGCTGCTCACAGAAGATGCTGTCCTGGTGTGTCCGAGGCACTGGGCACAGCAGCAGAGCCCCGGTGATCTGAGCTGGGGAAATGTCTCCATCCAAGAGGAATTATGTTGCCGTGCTGGGTCTGTCAGCTCACTGAGGTAGGTGCTGCTGCCTGTGCAATGTGCTGTGATCCTTGCCGGGGGATGTGTTCCTCTCCTCTGCCTGGGCTATGGAATTAAAGAGATCTTCCAGTGGGAACAGGGTTTAATTTGAAGCCTTATGCCAGACAGGAATACGTGTGTGTGTGCAGCAGGGAGGGGACAGCAAAGGATACCCAAGTGATGCCCTTCGTGCCTGGCAATAAAGTTGTGGCACTTAATTGGAACAAACTTGCCTGGGTCTGTGTGGCATGCACGTGGGAGGGTTTGCTCCTTCCTGGCAGATGACCTTTCCAAGGGGCTGGCCGCAGTGGACTGGGTTATGCTTTGGTTCGGAAGGAGGGACACAGTGCACTCTACAGGTCCCTTCATTCCGCTCCCGCGGACGTGGGGAGGACAGAGGGCACCCACCCGAGAGAGAAAACGCTGCGGCAGGGAGGAGGTGGCTTTCGGAGGAGTGAAATTACAGTCCAAGGAAGAAAAGAGGTGCTTTTCCCTGAGAAAGAGGGAATTTTGATGCCCTGAGGATTGATCTGAGTGTTTGGAAGTAGAGAAGGGGAAGCAGCCTGTGTGTGAGTGGCTTCTGTGGTTTTTGCTTTCCCAGCTCTGTGGACAGGAGTTTTGCTCATCTCTAACTGCTTTACCACCTCTGCACACTTGGCTTCAGGGCGTTTGCACTAATTCCTGGGAGAGGAAAACTGCCATCAGAATTCCTTAGGCTTGTTTGGGAAGGTGCTTTCCTTGGGGAATCCCTAACAAAACCCATAGCAGCCGATGCTCTTCCTCTCTCACCGGCGGGACGTGCTTTTCCGTGCTGTCTTGAGCTCCCTGGTGGGAGCTTTGCTCTGCACCGGTCAAGCTGAAAGGGAAGTTTTCAGACAATTTCCCCTGGAAAACCAGGGTGCTGGGTGCTGGATACCTCTGGTTAGTTCTCCTGCTGACCCACATGTGTGTCTGCACGTTGGCTCCTGAGCACGTGAGCGTAGACCCTGGCTGTGCAGAGAGGGTGGGCACTGCCTGGATTCCGTACCTGGATCATGCAGGGAGGGGTTTGTGAGTATTTCTGGCATTGCAGATCTTTGGAGCTAGCACAGCCAGTGGTGCCATTGCCGTGTGACACTTCCAGAAGTGTTGCTGTGGCATCCTGGCAGCACGAATGTGTCATTGACAACTGCTCTTCAGGAAAAGAGCAGGACTGTCATCAGCGCTGCAAAACAATTTAGTCACTTCTGCTGTCTTTAGTCAGGGCTTCCTGACTGGAATGTATCTGAGCAGTTTGGTCAGAGCATTTCTTACTGCCTCCTCCACCTCCCCAGGGCTGTTGTGCTACGCTTGACTCGGCGCTGGCAGACCTCATAGGGAAGGCTGGAGAAGAATCCCCCATTTTGGCTGTAATTTGGACCCAAATGCAGGCAAGAACGGGCTGCTCTGTTTCTGCAACTTGCGCATCCTCCTTTGGGACCCTGTCTAAGAAACCTCTGCTGCTCTGCCCAGCCTCTGTGTTGGAGATAGAGGAGCAGAATTGGGTCTTGCTACTGTGTCTCGGGTGGGTTTGCTGCTGTGTATGAATCAAGGAGCCACAAGCCCTGCTGGGGATGGAGGCTGCGATGATGCCCGGGGAGTAACTGCTCCTCTCCACCCTGAGAATGGGGATCCCACATAGTAGGTAGAGCAGGGCACAAGGAAGAGAATGATCCCCCAGCTTCATTCACGAGGTGAAAACAACACCTGGTGGAGTGGCACCTTTGTAATAGCAGTGCAAAGTCATGTGGATGACTTCCCCCTAAAAGAGCACTTATAAAGGGTGGTGAGCATTAACCCATTTGGCTGTGCAGGAAACACTAGAAAGCTCATCCCATTCAGTGCTGTTTGCACACAGGCAGGACGGGGTTGAGAACTGCCCGGGTTAAAGTAAGATGCTACTCACAGACATGATCTCAAAATAAATTTGGTGCTTGCTGACCAGCAGCTGTTTTGGTCATCTTGGTGCCTCTCTTCCAGCAAGCTCATAAAAGGGACCTATAAGAAGGATGGGGAGAGACTTTCCAGCAGGAGCTGTTGCAGCAGGATGGGGGGTGATGGGCTTAAACTAAAAGGGAGATTGAGGCTGGAAGTGAGGAAGAGACTTTGTACAGTGAGAGTGGTAAATCCAGGCACAGGTTGTCCAGAGAGGTGGTGGCTGCCCCATCCCTGGAGACATTGCAGGCCAGGCTGGATGTGGTTCTGAGCAACCTGGTCTGGTTGGAGATGTCCCTGCCCATTGCAGGGGTTGGACTGGATGAGCTTTGGAGGTCCCTTCCCACCCAAACCATTCTGTGAGTCTGTGATTATATGAAAACAGGAAAACATTGGAGTGTGTTCGCATGTCCTTTGGTCTATAGCAGCAGATGAGAATCTGAGCCTTACTGTGGACTCTCATCCACTTGGGAAATCAAACCGAGGCATTTGAACTACTGATTGCTTCTAAAGCAGCCTTTCTTGTCAGTAATGAAGTTTTGCATTAATCTCTAATTACTTGGAAGTTAAGAGCTGTTTGCTGGAGTTAATAACGGAGAGTGTTAGAATTAGGCAGAAGCTCTTCCCTGTGAGGGTGTTGAGGCACTGGCACAGGGCGCCCAGAGAAGCTGTGGCTGCCCCATCCCTGGCAGTGTTCAAGGCCAGTGTTGTGGTTCAACTCAGCAGGCAGATAAAACACCACAGAGCTGTTCAATCACTCCCCATGAGTGGAATGGGGGATAGAATGGGAAAAGAGGTAGAACTCATGGGTTGAGATAAAAAAAGTTTAATAGGACAGAAAAGGAAGGGAAAATACTAATAATGACAGAAAAATATACAAAACAAGTGATGCACAATGCAAGTGCCCACCCCTGAGCAGTGGGCTGCCAACCCCCAGAAAACTCCCTCCATTTTTTTGTTCTGCATGACATTCTGCGGTATAGAATACCCCTTTGGTCAGTAGGGGTGTGGTGATTTAAACCCAGTCAGGCAACTCGTTCACTCACTCCCCCCCCCCCCCCCTCTTTCCCTCCCCCTACTGCTGGAGGGGCAGAGAGGAGAATCGAAAAGAATGCAAGTCCCACGGGTTGAGATAAGAACAGTTTAGTAACTAAGGTATAACACAAATCACTGCTACTGCCACCAATAATAATAATGATAAAGGAAATAACAAGGGAAGAGAATACAACACCTCAGCACCAGCCGACCGATAACTCGCCCCCCCCGGCCTGACCAAGCACCGACCGATACCTCCTCCAGCCCCGCAGTCCCAGCCCTTCCGGGTAACTCTCAGTTACCTCCTGGCCATGACGTGCTGTGGTACGGAATACCTCTTTGGTCTGTTTGGGTCAGGTGTCCTGTCTCTGCTTCCTCCTGGCTCCCCCTCCTCCCTGGCAGAGCATGAGGCTCACAAAGTCCTTGGCCAAACCAAAGCATCAGTGTTATCAGCTCTGTTCCCAAGCTGAAAGTCAAAACACAGCACTGCACCAGCTACCAAGAAGGAGAAAAAAGACTGCTACTGCTGAACCCAGGACAGCCAGGTTGGACACAGGGCTTGGAGCAAGCTGCTCTAGTGGAAGGGGTCCCTGCCCGTGGCAGGGGTTGGAGCTGGAGGAGCTTTAAGGTCCCTTCCAACCCAAACCAGGCTGGGGTTCTGTGTTTAAATGGGGATGGTCAGCGCTGCGTTTTACCTGCGCTGGGCTGGTCCCTTCCTCTGCCTGATGCACCCATCTCTAGAGCAAGGGCTGGGCTCTTGGTGGTGCTCTGCTGCAAGATGCAGCTGAGCATGATTGTACCTGGGCCCAGCAGTGACCTGGCAGCAGTGGTGCTGGGATCCCTGCGAGGCCCTTAGTGACATGATTAGTGGTGGGCTTGTCAGTGCTGGGGCAATGGTTGGACTTGATGATCTTAAAGGTCTTTTCCATCCCGGTTGCTTTGATGATCCTGTGATGTGATAGGAATGTGTCCTGGCACCAATAAGCAGTTCACAGGTATGTTTTTTAAACCATGACAGTCACCAAGGGCCCTGTCTGTGAACACTTCCAGGGTCGGTGATTCCACCACTGCCCTGGGCAGCCTTCTGGGGAAGAAATAGTTGATTTGAAATTCAGGATTTGGAAGCAGGTTCTAAACCAGCTCCCAGCGATCAAAGCCTGGGGTCCAAAAGATGTTGAGATAAAACTGTGCCTTCCTGATGGTGTCTGGAGTGTCTTTAAGAGAATCTGCTACCGCTTTTGAAATCTCTCTTGCCTTTGTACCACTTATAAAATGCATTCACAGTAGGTGGTGGCATCAGCCTCCTCTCCGTGAATGCAGATATTTATATTATGCAAAAGGTTTTCTCACTTTGCTGCATTCAGATGATGACTGGAGGTATCATTCTTGTTAGATGAAAAATTGAGGCTGACTTTAGAGGTGAATTCAAAGAGCAATTTCTATTTAATATATATAGCAACAAATAGGAACAAAGCTGCTTAAAGATTACAGTAATGATGAATCATTATATAGCTCTCTGAAAAGCAATAAAAGTCAAAATGGAGTGCTAGGATTTAGTCGCTTAGAAAATGCACAGAAAGGAGCCTGTCTAGTGGAGAGGGTTTTACAGCACATCAAAGTCAAAATGTTTTGAGGTGCAAAAGTACCAAGTGACTTTCACCCCAAGGATAAGAGGCAGCTGCTCCCTATTGCATGTTGCTCCAGAAGGTTATTTCTTTGGTTGTTAATAACTCATAATATTGTGGGGCTTTTTACCCCCCCCCCCCCCCCCCCCCGCCGTGTTTCAGGGCAGATGCTCTCATCCTGCTTTTCCTGTTGACTGCTATCATTTTTGTTATTAATGCTAATTAAATGCTGTAACTTCTGAAAATCACATGAGTTTGAGCCATCAGCCCAGTGCAAATGCTGTCATCACCAGAGCCCGGAAAATGTTCAAGGGACTGTAATTTTGCTACAGAGCTGCAGTGGGTATGGCTGAGGCTTCTGCTATCTTTGTTCCGACGGCACGG